GCGCCCCGAGCAGAGAACAAAAGTGGCGGCGCTGAGGGGCGCAAGCTTGTCGTTTGGGGCACCCGCTCCGACACCACTCCGGCTAGGCGCTCGGAATGGGGGCCCCGCGATGCCGTCCTCCTCTTCGCCCCACCCAGCGAAACCCGAGGATAACCCGGCGTCCCCATCCCCCTCCGCTGGGTGCTCAGCCTGAGGCCGTGGTTAAAGATACTTATCGGTGGGAGGAAAAATGTCCATTTTTCATTTTTTTCTCCTCTGGCTCTCGCCGATCCCTCTTTCCCCTACTCTCTCTTCCCCTGCCTCCGCCCTCCTCCCTCTCCTACTTTATTTAAATTGTCTTCCTTCCCCTCCCGCCTCCCTGTACACTAGCGCTGTGACTTGGGAGATGAAATTATTCATGTCGCCAGATTCCCCCACCGCCTGATGGCCACCTTGTTGTTTAAACAGTATGAAAATTGATCTGACTGTTCCTTTAGTGATTTTTTTTTTAACACTCACAATTAAACTCTCAACAGATGTCACTGGACTTTTTAAGGCTGTTGTTAAAAATCGTAAACGTTCCCGGTCAATGTGACATAAAACAATTATAACTACAGCTGCAGAGATCACGTTTCATAACTCCCAGGCCCGCAGCCAGGAGGTTAATGTCTCCAAGTCGATACATTACCCGATACATTACCGTCGTGGAGTTTACCATCCTCATCAATTAACGTCGCAATACTTTGCGCCCCATCGTAGCATCCTAGGACCTATGAAAGACGCTGGGGAGAAACGCTGCAATCAGACTTCAAAGTAAATGTTTAAACTGGTAAATCATTAAAAGTTCACATTTCTCCACATCACACACACACAAACAAAAAAACCAGACACACAATCAACAATGCTCCTTTTAACATATATGCCAGTATGCCACAAATTATGTCTAGGGTTAGCAGAAGCTGGAATTTTTTTCAGCTTGGGACCCCAATGTCGTTCTGGCCTCTGTTAGGGCTTTCGGCACAAGCAACTTAATGTTTGTCTGTTGGGCTCCCCAAACAGTGGAGATCTCTCATCGCTGACCCTTTAGGAAGCACTCCATGAGGGATCCCTGGTTAACTGGTAAGCTTCGTTGTCCACCGCAAAACTGATACACATTCCAAGTGGTCCTGTTCCGTTTGGAATAGCACCAGCCAGGAAGCAGCAGATTCCACCAAATGTAAAACGAAAGGGCTGGTTTTGGGTGCCGTGAGGAGCCTGGGGCTCCTTGCACTCTGGGTTCAGCTCGGATGGTCTCCAACTCAGGGTGATGTCCCCCCTTACTTAATGCTTTTGCTGGACTGGACACCAGTCTGGTAAAGTGGACTGCCCAGGGGACCAGTGGCCAGAGAGCCAGAGAGCGAGAACGCGCTTGTGAGAGGATTCCTACTGTAATCTCTGTAAATGTCACTGGCTTTTTGGTAAAAGTTCGTCATAATTTCATTGGCCACGTATGTATTGAAATCAATGGGATATTCAGGTTGTCCGTGACCCACACAGACTCAGGCAGATAGATGCTGGCCGGAGGATAGTGGCTCCCGCCGCAGAGATGTGGAAGTGCTGTTTGCAAGTTTCTATTAATTCCAGTTACAGAAATGACCACCCACAGGCCCCTCTGTGGTTTTCTTAGTCACCTAATTCCTGAGCAAGCAGAAGGCCAGGGGCTGGGCCGCCCTGTGATGATGGGGACAGTGGTCATGCAGGGGAAACCAAAACGAGCGCTTGTGAGCAGACGCGGGGAGGGTCCAGTGTACTTTCCCCTCCAGGCATCCTGCACTCCAGGCCACGCCCCCGCCACCCCGTGCCCATGCTGCACCCTCCATCTGGAATGCCCTTTCCGTCACACCCTCACCTTTAAAAAATCCTCTTCATCCTCCAAGACTCACTTTAAATGCCATCTTTTCTAGGAAACTTCCCCTAATGCCCACACGTAAATTCTTTGCTCCTCCCTCTGGACACTCACCCCACAGCTTGGAGAGCATTCTGTCCCATAATAAAGGTCATCGTTGTCTTCCCCGTGAAGCCTGGGCCGACTCCGAGTCTGGCCGGCAGGCAGAGCACAGCATGTGTGTGTTAAAGGCAGGCATGGTGTGCCTGGAACCAAGTGGGTGCTTAATAGCTGAATAAGTGAGTGAGGGGGTGAATGAATGAAAGAGACACACATGCTAAAAGAGACACACATTCTGTTTTTGGAAAGGTGGGCTATTAATGATAGCCAAAGAAATGAGCAATGTTCACATGTCATTCCAGGGGCCGCCTGCATTGTAGTCAAGTGGACAGGGGGCCTGGACTGGAGCTTGAATATCTGAGTACGAGACTCTTAACGGCCTTAGGATCTCCTAGCCTCTATTTCTTCGGATGTAAAAATGAGAATCTTCCAACCAACTATAGTTACCCCAGATCCACGCAGTTCCTCCTGGCCCTGGGCCTCGGTTCCTTGCTCAGTGGAGAGTTCCAATTACAGTGTGTCGCTGGCTCCACCGCCTGAGGTGAGAGTCAGCCTCCAGCATGGCCTCCACCATGCCTCCCGCGGGGGCAAGGCTGCAGTGGCTCCAACCACATCCAACCCTGTGGACCCCTGGGGACCCCCACTGCTCCCCGCTCTCCGGCTTACAAGTAAAGTTTTGCACCTTGGGGCACAGACCTACCTCCCCAGTGGCCAAGCAAGCAGCCGAGTAACACAATTCAGAAGTAAAGGGAAGTAAGTTAGTGCTTCATCGAATAACCCTGGACCAACTAGAATCAGGATTCAGGATGAGCCAACAGATCATTGTTACTCCCTTCCTTGACTAACTGGAATGTTCTGGGGACCAGTGGTCCCACCAGGTGGCCTGCAAAATACCCATAACCCAGCAAACAGCTGTCTTTTGCATTAAGCTCATTGATCCATCACCTTGATCTCTCGCTTTCCTTCCTTCCCTTTCCCCTCACTCTTGCTGCTTTTGATTGCACCCCAAAAATAGGATCTAAGCTTTATTTTGCCTGTTTTCGAAGGACCCTTGGCTAAGAAGGGGAATAGCCACAGCTATCACACCACAGAGTCCTGCCGAGCAACGATGAGACCACAGCCCCAAAAGCCCTTAGCACACTGGAAAAATATATATATATATTAGTGACTATTATCCTCAGACTAACGAATCGGTCTTCAGTTTCTCCCCCATGAGAAAGGCTCCTGTAAAAGGCCACGGTGAATCTTGAAAAACGACTTCAAAAGCAGTTCAGTAAGCATTTCCTAGGCACCTATGTTGTGCAAGGCCCTACACCAGGTGCTATGTGACACCCATCCACTTAGACGGGTCCCAGGCCCTGGGAGAACATGGTGTAGCGAGGCCTCCAACAGAGATAACGCAGGCGTGAGAAATCACAATTCAGGGGGCCCAGCATGAAGCGTGGCAGGGAGCGGGAGAAGCGGCATAATGGGCGGGAAGGGGGGTTCTGGGAGGGTGGTCTCAGAGGGCCTCGGCAAGAAGCCGTTTGGGCGGAGCCTTGAAGAAGCAGTGATAGCCTTAGTTCCGGGCTGGACCGTCCCGAAGCATTCTCCATATCCGGGGTCTCGCTGGCCCTCACCAGGAGGGCCGGGAGGCGGGCCAGGCGTCCCCTTTTCATAGGCTGGAGGACTGATGATGCTCAGGGCGCTAGCCTGACTGGGTGACCGCACGGACCGAAGTGGAGGAGACCTGGGCAGGTGTTCAGGCTTCCGCTCTGGGGCAGCGGGGTTGGTGTCCGAAGACAGGGAAGGGTATTCCGGCTGAGGAAGCGGCGTGAGCCCGGGTCCTGAAGTGGCTGCAGCGGGAAGCTCGGGGGCCTGCAGCGGGGCACCGGTGGAGAATGGGACAGAGAGACGGAGGGACCAGACTGCGTGGTCTACAGGGCCAGGCCGGGGTTTCTGCTCAAGGTTCCTGCACAGGTGGGTGTGACACAGTGAGGTCTGCGCTCCGACATGGCTACATGGTGATGTGGAAGGTGCAGGAGAAAGTGGGGGGCAGCTGGGAGGTGGAGGCGACAATCACAGAGAGACAACTGGAGCTTGAATATCTGAGTACGAGACTCTTAACAGCCTTGGGATCTCCTACAAGCTCTATTTCTTCGGATGTAAAACTGAGAATCTTCCAACCAACTATAGTTAGGTGGGTGTGACACAGTGAGGTCTGCACTCCGACACGGCTGCATGGTGATGTGGAAGGTGCAGGAGAAAGTGGAGGGCAGCTGGGAGGTGGAGGTGACAATCACAGAGAGACGTGCCCATACCTGGCCTGGAGCAAGAGACCGGTGGCAGGTGCAGATTCCTGGGGCCACCACAGCCCCAGCACAGAGGAAGTGGGGGCGGGGGGCTTGAATGTCTGGTGTGTGTCAAGGGCCTAGGACAGTCTCGTTTATGCTTATTGTCCTAGGTAGAAGGAAGGCTGAGACCCAGTATTGGGACACAGGGGCAGATCAGGGGGACGGGAGAGCAGGGTGTTGCCTAAAATCCAGTCTTTCTACTGGGAGGCGTGGCCATGGTGTCCA